CGGGGCGGGGCGGGGCGGCCGCCGAGTGCGCGGGCCCGGGGATCTGCCCGGCGGCCGGAGTCGCGGCGCGGAGCCACATGCGAGCGGGACGCCCGGGAGGCGGCGAGGACTGCGGCGACCGGGCAGGACGCTGATCCCCACGCGGACGCCGACGCGCCAGCAGCAGCGGCGGCGGCAGCAGCCACCGCGGCCAGAGCGGCGGCGGCGGGAGCCGCTCGGCGGGCGCGCCCTCCGGAAGGCAGCCGCCCGCCGCCCCGTCCCCTCCCTCCTCCGGCCGGTTCATGCCCCCGGGGTGAGTGCGCGTCCCGGACGCCGACGCTGCTCGCGAGCAGCCAGGCCGGGAGGGCTCCCTGGAGGAGGTGAGGGGTGCGCGGGCGGAGAGGGTGGTCGCCGTGCGCTCCCGCAGCCCGGGTCCCAGCTTCTTCCATCCCCGGGGCCGCGGCGGGGCCGGCAGGGCGGGAAGGGAGCCTGTGGGACCCGGGGCGCCCGGTCTGGGCGCACAGGTGCCGCAGCGGTCTGGCGGGTTTGTTTACAAACAATGGGGTTCGGGCTCGCCCGCGCCCCCTGGTGGCCAGTGAGGCCGGGGAGGAGCGTGGTCCCGGGCTCGCTTGGGTCCCCCGAGTCCCGCGGCGGGAGGGTCGGGGTGGGGGGGGTGGCCCCGCGGATCGGCCACACCCAGGGCGCGCGCCCGCCGGGGGCGGCGACAGGGGGCGGCGGAGGCTGCGGCTCCCGCGGGCGGGGGCTGCGCCCCAGCAACAGCCGGTTATTGGCCCCGCGCGCGCTGGGCGGGCGGGGCGGGCGCACGTGGCGGCGTGGCGGTGGCGGGGCGCTGTGACAGCGGAGGGCGGCGGGGACCGCGCGCGCGGGGCTGGGGATCTGCAGGTGCCTCGCCCGGGTGTGTGCGCTCGCGTCTGGCTCCCGAGTCGGTGCCCCTCCGCCGAGATGCTGGCGTTCGTCACCCGGAGGGGAGTCTGCGTGAGTCCTGCACGCCCGCGGGGTGGGGTGCACCTGGCGGGAGACGGGCGCGGGCGGCCGCCCCCCCAAACCAGAGTTGTGTGCTCGTGCTCCTGAGGGGTGGCGAGGGGGCTCTGTCGCCCGCCTGGCAGTGCTGGCGACGGGGCACTTGAGCTGTGCTTGTGTGTCGCTGGAGCGAGATGTGTTGCTGTGCAGGGGTCTCGCCAGAGTGTGCGTGTGTGTGTGTGTGTGTGTGTGTGTCTGCGCGCGCGCGCTGTCTCTGGGTGTCTCCAAGACATGCATCTGCTGCACGCAGCTTTTGGGATGGGGTGCCACCCAGTGCCTGCTTGCTTCCCGGGTGACTTCTGAGTGACCAAGGGCACAAGGCTGTCCCCGCACTAGGGAATGAGGGCTCTAGGGGGGAGGATCTAGGCAGTGCAGGTCAACCTGTGTGTGTGTGTGTGTGAGTGTGCGCGCGCGCGCGCGCGCGCGTGGGGGGTGTCTGAGGGGCTTGTCACTGGGAACCGTGGCTCATCTGTGTCATGTGGCTCTCTCTCTCTGTGTAGTGTTTATACCAGTCACGTGAGGCCAGTGTTGTCTGCCTCTGCTTTAGGTGTGTGTGCTGCTGTGTGTGTGTGTTTGGGGGCTGACAGTTGGCTAGACTGATGGCTTCTCCCAGCTGCGGCTGCTGCCTCTCCGTATCGCTGCCCCACGTGTGAGGGGGCTGGCTGCCGGATCCGTGGCTGAGTGTGGCTGTCGTGTCCCGGGAGCTCAGAGCTGGGGGGGGCACTCAGGTGTGTGTCGGGATGGTGGGTGTGCGCTGAGGTGGGGTAGGGGTGTCTCGTTGTTTGGGGGTGTGTGTCTGTGTGCAGAGGGAACCCGTTCCAGTTCTGTCCGCTGTGCTTCTGTGTGTGACGGCTGTGGATGGTGAGCGCGGGCTTGCGGGCTGCGGGGCTGAGACGGGGGTGCGTGTGTGCGGGGCTGGAGGAGGCTCTGCGTGGCCGTGCGCGCGCGTCTGCGTGGGCCAGCTCGCGGGGCCTGGGGGAGGGGAGATCAAGTTGGCCACTTCTGCAAGTTGTCTGGTGTCAGTTGTCTCCCCACCGCACGCACACGCACGGGCTGTCCCGGGACTGTCCCGTGTGTCCCGGGAGCCCCGCACACGCCCGAGCTGCGCCGCGCTCCGCTGGGAAAGTTGTCCCGGCCGCAGTCTTCGGCAGTTGGCCCGCTGGGCTTTGCCACAAGCCCCGGGCGCAGTGCGTGCGCCCCCGCCCCGGGCGCCCCTCGGCGTGCGTCCCGGCCGCGCTGGCCCCGGGGTCCCCCCCCACTCCGGGGCCCGGGGCTCTGCAGGGTGGGGTCCCGCGGCCCCCGCTGACCTCCCGCGTGTCCCGCAGGCTCCAGGGAGCGCTATGGCCCGCGCACGCCAGGAGGGCAGCTCTCCGGAGCCCGTAGAGGGCCTGGCCCGCGACAGCCCGCGCCCCTTCCCGCTCGGCCGCCTGGTGCCCTCCGCCGTGTCCTGCGGCCTCTGCGAGCCCGGCCTGCCCGCCGCCCCCGCCCTGCTGCCGGCCGCCTACCTCTGCGCCCCCGCCGCCCCGCCCGCCGTCACCGCCGCCCTGGGGGTCCCCCGCTGGCCTGGGGGTCACCGCAGCCGGCCCCGCGCCCCGCGCCCGGACGGTGAGTGCCCGCCCCGCGCCCGGGGAAGCCGAGGCGCGAGCGGAGCGGAGTGGGGCCACCGGGAGGGTGTGGCCAGTGTGGTCTTTGTGTAGCGAGAAGCAGGAAGGCCGAGTGGGAGACGGGGCTGGAGGGGCCGGGTCGAGCGGGAAGTCCCTCCTGGAATCCCACTACAGTCCCCCGAGTTGCAGCCCACGTCCCTTCCCGGGCCTCGGGCAACAGCTGTTTCTCAGCTCCCCTCCCCCAGCCCTGGCCCCGGGCGCCCCCCGCCCCCGCCCCCCCCCGCCAGGATTGCAGTGGGAAGGAGTGTGGCCGGTGGGAGGACTGTCACCTCGGGACTTTGGGGAGGGGTCAGAGGCCTTTCCCTTTTTTTTGACTCTCTTTGGCCCTGGCAGGGCTAGACTGCAGTCCCCGGGGAGGAAGGAGAGGGGGAGGGGCCATTGTGTTGGGAAAGTCCCCCTCGGGGAGCGGGTGAGGCTCAGGGAGTGAAGGGTTAAAGGTCCCCTGCCTGATGGGTTAACCCTGTGGTGCCCGGCTACGGGCTACGACTATCTGGGCCTCCCTTCCGCCCTCCCCCGACCCCCTCGGGCAGCCTCCTGAGCCCAGGGGTTAAAGAGAGAAAAACTTTCCAACTTTCTCTGCGTCTCAGGACGAGATTCAGAGATAATGGAAACTGAGGCCCAGGGCCTGATGTGACAGGACGGAGGGGCCAGGGTGAGCGCCAGAGGGGGTGGGGCAGAACGGCTCACCTACCCCAGTACCCCTGCCGCGCGCGCGCGCGCGCGCGCGCGCACACACACACACACACACACACACACACACCACCCCAGCCCTCTTGGGTTAGCCCGGGTCTAGCCTTCTGGTCATCAGGCCAATGCCACATCCGGGGGTGTGGCCTCACTGTGGTTGGGCAGGAGTGAGCTGGAGACCTGCGAATAGTGACTGGGTGGGGTCAGCGGCGTATCCCCGTGTGACCTTGGCCACTTCTCCGCGCGAGGCCTCGGTTTTCCTGTCTCTCAAACAGAGCAGATTGGATTTGGCCCTGTATTGGAGTAAGGGGTACTTAGGTCGGATAAGTTGAGGGACTTCCACACTGATGTGAGCGTTAGTGGGCAACGGGCTGTCCCGGTGACCCCAGAGTCACTTCCTCAAGACCTTTTCCCAGGGCCCTGGGAGAGGAGTGGGGAAAAGACGCGGCTACGGCCGAGCGCAGAGGCGGGCAGGGCGGCCAGCAGCCTCCGGGCCGCCCGGGCGGGAGGTGACCACGCCCCTTTCCCCCTGCAGGTCCTCAGCCCTCGCTGTCCCCGGCGCAGCAGCACCTCGAGTCGCCCGTGCCCAGCGCCCCGGAGGCCCTGGCGGGAGGCCCCACCCAGGCCGCCCCGGGAGTGCGCGGGGAGGAGGAGGAGTGGGCCCGCGAGATCGGGGCCCAGCTGCGGCGGATGGCGGACGACCTCAACGAGCAGTACGAGCGGCGGGTGAGTGCGGGGCGGCAGGTGGGA